TTACAAAACTCTGAGACTTACTGTTGAGCTATGTACTCTAAATTGGTGAATTATACATATGTGAATTACATATAGCCTTTTCTTAAAAAAAAAAAAAATGATGTCTTTAATGCCCTGAAAGGGATTCCCTGAGTCTATCCTGTGGTAGCCTTGCTACTGGTTCACTCTCCTCTCTTTCCTCTTCCCTATTTTATTCAGGAATCTTCAGAGCTAATGCCTCCCAGTGTTTGCTCACAGCTGATCTAAAATCACAAACCCACCCCCTGGCCAGTACTCCTTGGTCTACTCTCCATTTTCTTTTTTACAATAGTCCACACCACACTTTTTAACATGCTTTGCAATCCACTCACTTATATTCATTGTTTATACACCATTAACCCCCTCCGCCCCCTACAAGAATGCACAAAAAAACATTGTTTTGCTTCCTGATGTATCACAGAGGCTTAGAATAAATGCTTGGCATATATTAGGTGCCAAATTATATAAATATCTGTTTCTAAAATTAACTCCTTATCTCATTACATGAGGGAGAATCTTGATGTGGCAAGATACTAGTTCTTCTGTCTTGAATTAAAAGTTATTTTTCACTTTGACTTAGTAATTCCCTTCTCCTGAATTTATCAAAAGAAAATAATTGAAAAGATGAAAAATTGCTTTGGCTTAGTTCATGACTCCTTTGTGCCAGGTACCATTTCAAAACTGGTAATAACTCAAGTAACCAACAGCAGAGGAATACTTAAGTAAATTGCAGTGTATCATCATAGTACAATATCACATAACCTGTAAAATCATAATTATTCCTTTTATCCAGTGTGGGAAATGTTTATGTCACAATACTGAATATGAAGATGTATATAAACCTGCACCAATACCACTGATTTAATCAATTTAGTCAATCTTTATTGACCACTTACTCTGTGCCAGACCCTGATTCAGGTGGTGGATATATGCAGGAACTAGAATAATCAAGATCTGCCTTCATAGAACTTGCATGCTACTTGGGAAAGGCAGGAAAAGATGAAGGTATAAATAAGTAAGATGATTTCAGAGAGTGATACTTGCAGTGAGAAAAGCAACAGGGTGAAGGATTGACTGGTTTGTGTGAGTGAGAGGTGGGATAGAATCTCCACCTTGCCTAAGGACTGATTCATAGTGAAGAACGGCAGAGACAGCAACAGGGGCCATGGTGTTGCTTGGAGTTTATACTATGAGAGAAGTACAACTAAGGAATGGTGTTTACCAGAGCAGGATGTTTATAATATTTATGTTTGAAAACAACAAGGGCAGGAACCAAGCCCTGGAGACTGTAGGAGATGACAAAGGCGATTGTTGGAGTCTTGAACTAGAACTCTGGTGCAGTGGGAATGGAATGGAGAGCACAGATCCAGAGAAATTTATAAGTAGTAATAGACCCTATTTTTCATTATGAGACATGAGGTTGAGAAAGAGGAATGTAGAGTAACTCCCGGTTTTCTGATTTAGTAGCATTGTGTGCAGAACAGAGAAAAGGCATTATCAGGTGTCAGTGTGTGTATATGTGGCACGGGAGGGAGGGTTGTGGTGATTTTTTTCATTATTAAGAACATTTTTAATACAATTTTTGGGAATGATGGGGATTAATTTCAGGGTCTTGTGCATGCTACACACATACTGTACCACTCAGGGCTACCTCCAGCCTCCATACTATAACTTTTGAAATTAAGTTAAAATCAAGGACAGGAGAAATACATTTATATTAGTCATTCTGTTTTTTTATCAAATGATATAGAAAGAACCTAAATAACTATTAATGTGGTATTGGCTTTTAAAAAACCAGAAAAGTTAAAACCATAGAAATTCTTAATCATTTTAATAATATGTATTTTTTGTGATGTAAGTAAAACATTCAGTTTTTATGTTTTGAATTTATTTTTAATTTTTGTGACTGTTACTCTAGGTTGACTAGAGTGGTTAATTCCTGTATTCTAAGGAATTCATTTTCTTCCTCTCTAGATTTGGTGTTGTCTGGAAATTTACGGTATATACTCTCAATTCTAGTATCAAATCTGGTAAAAATTCCATAACATTTGTTCTGGGTTTCTGCACTTATTACTGCATTTTGTATGAATGTTTCCAGCAGAATATTCAGGGTTTTGACAGTGGTAACATCCAAACCATGTACTTCAAATATTGGCTGAAATATTTTAAGGAATAAAATTAAAATCATTACTGATTACCAGATATTAAACCAAATATTCTTCTCTAGGTCTACAAGGCTTTTTCTTAGAGGAAAAATATTAAGAAGGGCATTCTTTTATTTGTTACTTTTCAGTATTTATAAAGCATATGCAGAATCTCTGCTCTTGGAGGCAGCATGGAATAGCAGGAAGAGCACTAGGTTGTGAGTCCTGAAACCTGGATGCTGACTTTGGCTCAGTCATGAACTGACTGCTTAATTCTACAGATATGTGTTTCCCAAGACCTTGATTGCCTTGTTTATAAAATTAGTAATTATACCAGCCCTGACCTTTTATTATCCCACTACTTGAGTTCCTCTTTGACATTGTAAAAATCATTTTAAAATCATGTCATCTTTTTGTAATTTGATTATTTAGTTTGCTGTTTGACTCTGAAGTATCTTAGATTGTATTTTCAACATCAACACACACCACACACACACACACACACACACACACACACACAAAAGCTTGCACACGTGTGCATATTTTGAAGATGTGTACTGCTTAAGAGCAGAGTTTGGCCCTACTCTGTAAATGTGTTCAGAAAACAATATAACACAGATACTGAAGGCAGCTTGTTTTTTACTTGTAGCTAAACATGAGATTCAAATGTTAATTGGATGAATAAATCTCGTTCATTTTACAGACATGGAAATGTCAATGAAATAAAACTATTTATCACAAGATAATGGTCTCCTGCCGCCAGATAAATGCCAAGATGAAGATACTTATTGAAAATGTATCAAAATATTCTATTGCTATTTATTGAAAATAAAGGTTGAGGAAAAGTTCAACTTTTCAGGTCAAACATGAGAAATGCCCTACTTATGCTATTAGTATATTACTATATCAAAGACAATGTGCACGGTGTAGAAACTTGGGAACATTCTAAGAAATAACAGTCCAGAAATTAATCTTTTCGCTTTGAGAATTGCTGGCACAGTGGAGTTGGGGCTAGAAGGAGTTACCTAATATTTTTGAATTCTCATTGTACATCCAACATAGTCCTGGGTATATTCACTAATGTAAGCCTCATGAGAACAAAATTTGAAAAGAATTATTATCTTCATTTTACAGGTAAAGTTAAAAACAAAATAACTTACAGTCTCACAGAGAGTAATTACAAACATGAGTGTTTAAACAGCCTGAACTCCAAATGTAGCAAATTTCTCCAACACCCTTCCTTTTTACTTATACTTTGTAAATCTGAATACCATGATGCTTTTTAGTTTTGTGAAGATTTAGGGTAGATTATTTCACTGAGTTTTGTTGCACTTGATGACCAAGCACTTCTAATAATTCAGTATATAAGGTATTCTCTTTAAGTAATAATGCACACTTCCATAAGCCTTGAGGACTCGATAGCTCTGAATGGGCCAAGTAGTACTAAGTTCTAGCATTTAGATTCCTTCTTTCCAGGAGTATGTGTTTTGAAAGTCTCTACTTAACTCCCTCTTTCTGCCTTTTTGAACTTAAGTATGTATTTTAGTTAGCGTTTTCACTGCTGTGACTAAGAGACCTGACAAGAATAATTTTAGAGGAGGAAAAGTTTATTTGGGGGTTCATGATTTCAGAGGTCTCCGTCCATAGGCAGCTGTTCCATTCCTTGGGGCTCAAGGTGAGGCTGAACATCATGGCAGAAGAGTGTGGCTGAGGGAAGCAGCTCACATGGTGATCAGGCAGCAGAGAGAGAAACCTCACTCACCAGATACAAAATACATACCCAAGACATTCTCCCATTGACCCAGTCACCAGCCACACCCTACCTGTCTTCAGTTTCCACTCAGTTAATCCCTAGCAGGGTATTAATTCGCTGATTGGATTAAGGCTCTCAACCTCCTCTAGACCTTCTTGCATTGTCTCACACATGAGCTTTTGGGAAACACCAAATATCTAAACCACAACAGTATATATTTCTCCTCTTTACTCATCTTTCATATAATATAAGTGCCATAGTGATCTTCACAAAATATATTATTTGGGTTGTTACTGAATATGGATGGTTAAATAAAACTGCCTAAAGAATTTAAAGGAGGATTATTGTTCACTGATGCTTTTTGCCAATCTCTTCATGCCAAACCCTTCTCATGTCACTCCATCCTCAACAGTCCCTATCTCCACCCAGTGCAGCCACTGGGTGCTAATGTCTCCCTCTCTGGACTCTCAGAGAACTGAATTTTTCCTCTGGCAGCTATCTCTCTCTCCCTAGTATTTTAAATTATTCATAGTTTGTTATAGTTTCCCTGGTAGATGGTAGGCTCCTTACTAGAAGAAATTGTATATTTTCCTTCTCCCTGATCTCCATGATATCCAGCTGAGTGACATGGAGATTGCACATAATCAACAGGAGAGTGAAATTTAAAGAGACATGAGTACTGTGCCTTTGTTTTAAGGAACAGAGGAAGTATCAAGGTTTGACATATTTCTTAGTGAGCCCTTGTGAATATGGGAGCCTGTATACCTGGTCCATTGCCTATGCTTCATATCTATCATTTCTCTCTAAAACACATTTGGCTTTTATTTATTTCATAAAATTCCTGGAGGCAAGAGTGGGCAGAAAATTTAACTGCTAGGCTGATACAAAGGAGAAAAGTTTGAATGTTAAAATGTTTCTCAGGAAGAAAACAGTAATTCATACAGGATGTTTTTGATATGTAAGTAAAGTATAACCTAGTAAATATATTTTTTAAAAGTCTTGGTACACTTCTAGTACTTTTAGATCAGCACCAAGCACCACTGTGTTATATGAATCATTAACAGTCTTGCCATTCACCTTCACAGATGGGAGACCGTTAGCCCTGAAGGACATATGGGAAGGAGTCCACGAGTGCTATCAGACGAGGCTGCAACAGGGACCATGGGACACTATTACTCAACAGGTTAGAGAATATTTTCATTTTATTGTATGTAATTATTTCCCTATGCTCATCTTTTCATCTAGTTCTCTTACCTACTCCTTTCCCTATTTTACTCTTCCACATCCAGATTTCAGTTCAAAGGCAGTTTCCTTAAAAATACCTTCTCAGACTCAGACTTGGTTTAGACTCTCTATTATAAGATTTCATAACACCCTATAATTTTCCTTCATGCTTCTTATCACAGTTTTGAATTACATATTTGGATGATTTTTTAAAAAGTATTCAATATCTATCTTTTCCATTACTTTGTGAGCTCATTTATGTTCAAGCTATGTTTGTTTTTCTATTTTACTTTTCATTGTACATCTAACATCAGCAAAATACTTATCATATAGTAGGTGCTCAACAACAGTGTATCCCATAAATGAAAATAGAAAGTAAGTTGGCACATACACTGAGAAGTGGCTGCTTTAAATTGTGTTGTCTGTGTTTCACAGTTTTACTCATAGGTGCATTTGCAAAATAGTGAAATTTTGATTAATAATAGGTTGGCAATAGTGATTTTCAAAAGTAGAAAACTAGATCTGCAAAAAGAGATATATAAATATATTTGCAAAAGTAGACAAAATAGATCTGTCAATCATTTAAGTCATTATTACTGCCTTGCTAAAATCAGCAGTAATTATTTTAGAAATTTAAAAATACTCATCACCTTGCAACCAATCATGGTCTTCTTAAAAATTATTTTTACTGAAATCAAACATCTATTTTTTTCTAAGTCTCTGTTAAGCTTAATGAAAGCTTCCTTTAAAAGTGATTTTATGAGCCATTAGAATTTCATGCCCTCTTATGTATTTGATCATAATAATGGCAGTTTACCTCCCAATCAATGTTAAGAATCCTTAGCATCTCATAAGCAGTTCTTTAGCAATGACTGCAAGTGGCCATTCTCTAGGTTTTAATTGAGGACAAAACTAGCTTTAAGTATGTTTCATACTGCCCCTTAGGTTAAATTTTTTTCCTTTTCCTCCCACTATCACTCTCTGACCTCGCCTGGAATGATTAGTAAAGCCTCTGACCTCTGGTTTTCTGTGCCTTTCTTCTCTAGTTCTTACCATTTGTCACTGTCTTAACTACTCTTGCTCTTGTCTCACTCCTGCTCAAGCCTGCAGCAGCTCCCCAGGGTCCTATGGAATGTAGTGTAAATGCCTTGCCTGGGCTTTAGTGACTATCACTCACAGGTTCTCACCTGCCTGGTACGTTTTTCTTCTGTTTGTCCACTCTACACAGCTTCTGCCAAACATGGCTATTCATTTCTCTGTACCCATTTTGCAGTTTGTTCTTGGAATTCTTTCAGGTTTAATGCTTTCCCTCTATGCTCTATTTCCTACCTATTCTCTCGTAAGTTCCTCTCTCTCTGAAACTACTGAAGCTCACAAAAATGACTCCCTCTGAAATCCAAGTTCTGTAGACCAGGCATATGTGGTTGCTATGAAGAATGATAATATGATATAATATAAGCAAAGCAGCCCTAAAGATTTTTGGCAAGGACATCTTACTTTATGCAAACTACTTTACATTAACCTTGAAGTAAGTATGTCCAGGTGAATGCTTAGAGTTTCAACTTCTTGTTTTGTCAGTGACTACACACTGTCCAAAAATCTGTACTGTAGAGTCAGAATCCACACGACCCAGGAAATATTTAGTTGTTAAGAGTAAAGAAAGATGACAAAAAAATAGAGGAAGAGAGTATCCAATATACACATGTAAATTAACTTTAGCCTTTTTCTCAGCTCCTTCCCAGTCAGTGTGCTCCCCAGCCCAATTCCTTTCCTTTTTCCTCTCACTAGTAGCCCTATTATTAATCTCCTCAATGCCAGTCTACAGTGCAATTCCTGGTGGTCTATGTAGTTTTGCATTTTAATTCCACATGCCTTTGTTCAGAATCATGACGCAGGAACAAGATTTTGAATTCAACTCTATTTCCTTAATTCCCTCATCTGATGTTGCTAGTAGATTTCTCTACATTGATAGAATCCCTGAGATGTTAAACTAACCAAATAAAATAATAGAATTGACTAATGTATTTTAGTTTATAAACATTTGAGTAGATTTTTTTTCTTTTTCTGGTACTGAGGATTGAACACAGGGATACTGAACCACTGAGCCACATCCGCAGCCCTTTTTTAATATTTTATTTAGTGACAGGGTCTTTTCTGAGTTGTTAAGTACCTGGTTAAGGTGCTGAGGTTGGCTTTGAACTCGAAATCCTCCTGCTCCAGCCTCCGGAGCCACTGGGATTATAGGCTACTGCACCTGGCTGGATCATTTTTTTTTTTCCCTATTTATAGTACTAGTAAAAAAGAAATACCTTCATTTTTGTTTGAAGATATGTATGTAAGTTAGCATTACTATTTCTTTTTCCTCACATTTTAATTAGTGCATTACAGTTGAACATGATGGTGAAATTTGTTGTTAGGTATTCATATATGCACATAACATAACAATACAATTTGGCCAATATAATTCCCCAGACATTACTATTTCTATCAAGGCTGGAGCTCACTTAATAGGATGATTATTCAATATAACAAAGTGACAACTCTAAAATTTAGATGATCATTTATAATTTGTCTTATTGGAGTTTGATCTGTGTATTTGTATGCCACTTGTAATTAAAAAAAAAAAAAAACTTTATTTAAGCTCTAGAGTTGCTCAACATAATACATGTCCATGCTTTAAAGACCAATCAAGGGAAACTCATTGGTAGCTATTGCACTATTTGGCATTTGAAAGTTGTCATATATATTTCCTTTGAAGGTCTTGGTTTTTAATCTCAGTTGGTTATTGGGATGGTATTATGTCTTTTTATTTGCCTGAGTTCTTTGGAATAGTGGGACTTCATTTGTATAAGACCTCATGTGGAGAAAAACAAGGTGTCCTCAGTGGGACTGAAATGGAGGGTATAATGCAGCCATAGAGGGAAATAAGCTGATAGAATATTGGTGGCATTGAAGAGTAGCCATCGTTTTGCAGAAATATGCTAAAGAATCATTAGCTTGCAGACTGAACATGATAACGATATCCTGTCCTCTAGAGTGGCTTAAAAACAAAAGCAGCCTTTGCATAATACAAAATGCATTTTACTTCATTTTCAGGTCTAACTGTGCTCATATGGTTTGTTGCTCTTCATCTTTAGTAATCACACTTCTGTTCTCTCAGCATTGGTCTTGATGATATAGGCCTGCTCATGTCAGACATGAACCCTCTCTTTTGAAGACAAGCCACTCATGAATCTTATACATTTGATTATGATGATTACTCACCTGCCTTTGTCCAACCTTACGGACTACCTATTATCTCAGCCCTGTAGTCCTAGATTGGATTTGTCTTTAGAGAGTGACTGTTACAGTAACCATTACTGAAAGGTGTGAATTCTGTGTTTTAGGCAAAGCATTACTTTGAACTTGGCATGGGCTAAGTCACCAGATAAAAAAGGTCTATCTTCAATTTTATTTGAAGATGTGTGTGCTTATGTGGGTGTGTAGTGGCCAAATAAGTAATTTCTTCTTCTTTTTAAAAACTTTTATTTTGGAAAAACTCAAACATACAAAAGTAGAGATAAGAAGATAAGAAGCTCATGATGGTCTTATTTATTTATTGACTTTGCTGCTGGGGGTTGAGTCTAGATCCTCAAACATGCTGAGCCCACTCTACCACTGAACTACATTCATGTCTTACCAAGTCTGGAATTTTTGTTTAAAAGAAGATTCTAGACATCAAATTTTAGTTCATTCATAAATATTTAAGAAGATAAGGGCTTTACATGAGTGCTTATAACAGTTCAATTTACAATAGCCCCAAATGTAAACAACCCAGGTGTCTTTCAGTGAATGGATGTTTAAACAGACTGTAGCACACCCTTGTCATGGAATGCTACTAAGCACTTGAAAGGAACCATCTATTGATACACTTAACAACCTGGATGAATCTCCAGAAAATGATGCTGAGTGCAAAAAAAGTAATCCTAAAAGGTTGCATAGTGTATCATTCCTTTTCTATATTTTCAAAATGATAAAATCATAGACTAGAGAACAGATTAGGGTTGCCAGGTGCTAGAGAGGGGATGTGAGTGTAGCTTTAAAAGATAAAATGTGGAACCTATGGTGATGGAAATATTCTGTATATTCATGGAATCAGTGTCAGTATCTTGATTGTTGTAAGATACTATAGTTACACAATTTGTTATTATTGAGGGAAACTGGGTAAAAGTTATAAGGGATCTCTTTGTATAATTTTTTTCAATTGAATATGAATCTTCAGTTATGTCAGAAAAGTTTAATTTATAAAATGGTAAGAAGTCTTTAAAATGCAAGTGCAATTCTATCATCACATTTAAAATTAAAATTGCAGATAATTTCTTAATATCATTAACTAAGCAATTACTGTTTAAATTTCCCTCGTGTATATATTTTTTACAGTTTGTTTGAATAAAGATCCAAACAAGGTCTACACATTTAAATGGTTAATATCTTTTGTGGGTTTTCAAATCTATATAAATTCTTATTTCTCCCTCTCTTTCTGCCTGATAATTCTTTATTGAAGTTTGCTTGTCCTGTTGTGTTTTGCAGACTAGATTTTGTTTTCCAATTATGTCTGTGTGATGCTCAGTATGTTCCTCCTTACATGTACTAGAAACTGGTAGTCAAATCTTAAAACTGGATAAAACAGGTGTTTTTTTTTTTTTAATTTCTTACATATATGACAATAGTGGAGTGCATTACGTTTTTGTTCTTTGTTGTTGTCATGAGAAGAATCCTTCATAGGTGTTTCTGGCTACTCCCAAAAGGAAGCACATAATCTTTAGTTATTACTGTTTATTTCGGCCATGTTAGCAGTCACTGATGATTATTGTCTATATTTATTAATTCATTCAAAGGTTATTCATTGTAAATCAATGATGTTTCATTCATTATTTATTAGTTGGACCACTTCTGTAATGACAAAGTTTCTCCCATCAG